GGGAGTGAAAAGCATTTTTAAATGTATCAAAATACAAGTACCTCATTTTGTACCACCATCAAGAAAAAAATGACTACAGTGCTGGTACTTAACCCCAAGAAGATGTCCAGTGGCAGATCTGAAGAGGGGAAATTAAATGGCTAGACATTCCATGGAAAACTTCCTGCAACTTCCATTGGAGGATGGAACAATGTGCTACTTAGCTGAAAAGAGCAAACTCCTCTCACCGCACCACCCACCTCTTTCCTCTAGTTACTGTGCTGGATGGTGAAATGAAACCCAGCAGGTAGGCAGCTCCTATACAGATTTCTGGAGCTATCTCATGCTCTGGTTAATTGTGTCAGCCTTCAGAGGCTAATTAGCATAATTAATCTTATCTTGCAATTACCCTGAGGAGGAAGTTCCCCTGAGGGGGAAGTTCTGAATGCCCAGGTGGGATGTGGTGAATGAGTGACTGTGTCTATCTCCAAGTGACAAAGAAGCACAGGATGGAGAAGTTTGAGAACCAGAGCTTGGAGCTAGGCTTCCTGGGATAGGAGGGAAGAGCAGAGGAGGGGCACTTCGCACAGGTCCTCATGGGCCAGGACGTGCCCACACATCTGTATACAGCTGTGGAGCTCCCTATCTCCTCTCTTTGCTAGGAGCTCCCTGAGAATCGGGTCTTTGTCTTCTATATTTCTCATCTATAATAATAAAAGGGTAATACACTAATTAGATCAGACAGCCAAACGACCTTCTAGATGTCCTTCCAGATGACCTTCTGGATGAAGCTGGGGCTGTGAGGGCACGCGGCTACAGCTTCAAGAGCCATGGCTGCGAGGGCCGAGCCCCTTGCACGAATTTAGTGCATCGAGCCTCTAGTTTAAGATAAGATGGGAAAAGCAAATAGAAGAGAAGAATAGGATGGAATCAGATGGAGAAATGAAAGTACTATATTAGAAAAGATGGAGAAGATGGAGGAAGATAGATGGCTAGCGAGACAGATGGAAAGATGGACTGGTGTGTGGCACCAACCATGTGCCAGGCTCTGTGCTATAAAATGGTCCCCAAATGCTTTATATAGAGCATCTTGTTCAATCATCACAACTCATGACACCCATTGGCTCTCAACTTAAAGGTGCATAAGAATCACTAATAATACTTGTTAAAATGAAAATTGCATCTATAGAGATTTTAGTTTTATAATCTTCTCATAGGAGCTAGGAAGCTACATCATTAATAAGTAGCCAGGTGGTTTCCATGCAGTTGGTCCTAGGACCTCACCTTGAGAAATGCCATTTACTGAATAAATGAATGAATGGATGGTTGAATGAATAAATAAACATACCCTTTGAGGCAGTTATTCTAGGAATCATTTGGAAAGGTAGAGACTGAGGGGCAGAGTAAGTGAGTACTTGTTCATCTCTCACTGTTAGTAATTGAGGGCATTTGTATCTGCCCTCCCTACTGTAGAAGGCATTTAGAGAAGGTTATATAAGAGACTGACCATGCTCTTCAATGCATTTTCTTAGAGTAAAAAAGGGCAGAGGCTCAAGGTGGATGTATCAAATTTGAGGAATTTCTACCCTTATTTATTTAACCAATATTTTAAGCACACACTCCATGCCAGGCATGGAGGTTGTACTAATGAACAAAAACAACAACAAAAGGACAGCCTTTTTGGAGTTTAAAGCCTAGAACACCTCCTCTAACCACCAAGATAGACATTAATAATCTCACAAATACAACCTTATAAACTGCTCCAAATATTTTTTTTTTATAAATGCCCTGTTTATGGTGTTAACAGAAGCTAAGAGTCAGGGAAGGGTTCTTATTTGCGTTGTTGTCTTAAGTTTGAGTCTGAGTTAACCAAATGAGCAGAGGAGGAAGAAGAATACTCCTGGCAGTGGAAGAGCATATGTCTTTGAGGGAGCAAAGGACTTGAGAAACTGAAAGGCTATGAATCAGGCTGGAGTATCCATAGAGCTGCATTTGCGGGGAACCAGAACATGGACAGGCACATCTTCAGCTAAGAAGGATGGAGCTCCCGCCATGGTTTGGGGATGGAGAAAGGCAAAACCCTTTGGAGGCAGTGTTATATGCAGGAGAAATGAAATCAGAGAAGGAGACTCTCAGAGGTGAGAAGCTGTTCTGGAACATAAGGAGGGCTAAGGAGAAAGATTTGAAGATTAGCCTGTAAAGGAAGTGACGGTATTAGAGACCTGCTTTCTTTGATGCCAGCTACAAAATCCAGGAGCTTAATGGGGTCCTGTGGGACCCCGTGGGATTAAACAAGCCTTTTGAAAGGCCCATCATTAAGGAGAGTGGACAAATTCCTGCCAGTCCCATTGTCCTTTATAATGAAAGCACCTGCGTTTTCTCCTCCACCCCAGAGCCTGAAGGCCACATTGACTAGTTCGTCAACACATGACTACTTCTATGGCGATGAAGAGAATCACTAGCTCCGTTCCCATTTTCATGAAGTTTATGGAGAAGTGGGAGAGACTCTCAATTAAATAATCACAAAAGTGATCAGTGTGATGAATAAATGGTACAGGTAGCTATATTTCTGATAGTCTGAGAAGTCAGTGGTTGGTGGTGGTTGCCTTGGAGACATTTAAAATAAGACCTAAATAATGAGAGAGGACTAGGTGGTGAACAGTGGTTGGTAGGGTGGGCTAGGACGACTGAATGTGGGAAATACATAAATGCACAGACCCTGTGATAGCAGGTACTATAAACAGTACAAGGAATGGACAGAGGGTGTGTGTGGCTACAGAAGAGGTCCATTGAGAGAATAAACCAACAGATCGCCAAGGTTTGGACTATGCGGGGTTTTCAGCCATGGTCCAGTGAGTCACTCTCTCCCAAAGGAAACAGGTGAATATAGAGAGATTTACACCAGACAATGGCAACAGCTGAACATTTTACTTCTCTAGGGTGCTATATCTCAGAGGTACACAGGACAGGAATTCTTGTTTCAACCAGAGTCTGGGTCTCACTTCAAGGGAAAGTACCCAATAGCTATGAGAAGAAAGAAAGTACACAAGTGACATACTAACTTAGCTATATGACTCTGAGAAAGTCATGTCCCCCTTCTGAATCCCACCTCCTCCTCTAACCACCAAGAATTTTGGCCCAACACTTAGTAAGAATTTGTTGAATCTTTGGAGATAAATAGACTCACTTTCCCGCCATGAGCTTTGTCTAGAGTGGAGCTATCATTTTTCCCCTTTAAAAGGTCTCTTGAAATACAAGAACATCATTTAAAAGTGAGATCTTGCTATAGATGGATATGTTCCAGTATTAGATGAGAAGGTGAATAGAACCACATCCATTTAAAATCGGACAGAGGACCAGGGAGAATAAAACCCTCTTGGTTTAATGACAGGACTAAATTGGGTTCTGTGTCAAGTTGCCATTGAGTTTCTGAGTTCTTTAGAAGGAAGATAAAACAATCTCAAAAAGAATGATGTATAAAACGGATTAATTTCCAGAGCATTCACAGATGCCATTGATGTTGCAAGTCTTCCTTCCTGAATTGTTTTCAATTTTCAATTGAGGGGTTATTTTAAAGCAAAGAGATGAACCTGGTGAAAGGGAGAAAGAGAGTGAGGAGTGGGTGTGGGAAAGAGAGGGTTTGTAATGACTTCCATGTGAGGACAGCCTGGGACCCCTTTCTCCAACCTCATCTCCTTCATCCTTTCTTCCACTTTATGGTTGGAACACATCATAATTCCCAACTTGCACACTATTTCAAGCCTCTGGGGTCTTACTTGGACTCCTCTGTGTCCAAGCAGAGTTCTTTTTCCCTCCTTTTGGTACTGATTCAAAACCTCTGTCTTTCTCCTTTCCTTCTTCCAGGGAAAAAGAAGAGAGGAGAAAAGCCCTGATTGGTTTGGCTCCATGGTTAGAGCGTTGGCCTGTGGACTGAAGGGTCCCAGGTTTGATTTCAGTCAAGGGGAGCGAGGAGAGAGGGAGGGAGGGAGGGAGGGAGGGAGAGAGAGAGTGAGAGAGAGAGAGAGAGAGAGAGAGAGAGAGAGAGAAG